TGTCACATGGTAACCAGGGTGGAGCTTAGATTACAAAATTTAGATGGTTATCCACCCTTATCCACCAAATTCTCTATTCCAACATCTTCGATTAATGTCTTGGAAAATATATAGCAAACATGACAAACAATAGGTGGTCAAAAAATAGTTTCTGTTCATCCACCACCACAGTCTTCATGGTTATCCTCTAGTGATGTCTCTCATCAACCGTTAGTCATCACAGCATATGTGGAAACTCCGTCCATAATGGCTCAGAAAGAGTCTTTACAGATTAAAGATATTGTGCCATTAATAAAAAAAAATAATTATACTAATTTATGTTTTCAAACAGTTGGAAAGCAATTGACTAGAATAGAAGAAACCATAGAAACTTTTAAAGATCGTCAATTGACCCAAACACCAGTCTCTTCTCTTCAACTAGTTAATATCAAACCACCTTTAGAAGTAACTAATTTTAGCTTACGTTCCAATCAAAAGGATAATGAACTTATAGAGACCCTTTTGAAAAAAATGAATGAACTGAACTTAGGGAAATCTTCACCAGGAAGTAGTTCTATTAATATGATATCTACCCAAACCACTCCCGGACTACAACATGAGGATGATGAAGGAGTTACACCTTTATTAATTTATGAACTCCAGAATAATTTTCAGGATATGCAATCTGTTAACAGAGCCGCCTTCCCTAAACAAAGCAGGAGAACCACCATACAAGGCGCCAGTAGGTATTATAATCATAGACCTACACCACAGGATATCCTTTATGAGGAAGATTTCATTCATGGCCAGAACTCTTATTGTGGAAAAACCATTTATGAATGGAATATAGATGGTTATTCTGAATTTCAGATATTTGAATGTATACATCAGATTATTAGGTATGCCACTATTTGTAAACAGAATAATAATTCTAACCACTCGATAGTTAGATTCATTGTTAATGGCTTTTTTGGCGTCCTTAAGGGATGGTGGGATAATGTTCTCACTTCCGCACAATAGAATGAAGTTTTGAATGCCATAAAACTTGAAACTAATCCAGTTACTAATACTACTACTCAGCGCGAGGATGCAGTTTATAGTTTAGTCCAGACAATTCTCTACCATTTTATTGGGGGAAGAACAGTTAATGATCACCGAAGCCGTGAATTACTTCAGAACCTTTGATACCCATCTTTAACCCATTTTTGTTGGTACAAAGATGTGTTCTTGTTAAAGGTTATTGCAGCGACCTGATGCTAACAGTAGCCATTGGAAAGCCAAATTTATTGATGGCATTCCTAAAATTTTTGCTGAAAAAGTTCGAGAAAAACTTCGCGATCGCCATGATTGCATGGCCATTTCTTATGACCAGTACACCTACGGCCAACTCATAGGCCTCATCATCAAAGAAGGTCTTTTTTTGTGCATTGACCTTAAACTTTAATACTATATGAAAAAATAGAATCTTACTTGGAAAAAAGAATTAGGTGAATTTTGTGATCAATTTCCTTATGACACCAAAATCCAGTATCCCTCGAAAACTAGGAAGTCTTATCCCAAAAAACCTTCCAAACAGTGTCATAAATATTATAAGAAATCCAAAAGTGTTCCCTCCTCAGCCTCTTACCAGAAAAAGTTTTCTTCTCAAACCTGAAAATCCACCGATAGAAAGTGGACTTCTAAAAGAGATGTTCAATGCTATAAATGTGGAACAACTGGACATTATGCTAATAGATGTCGATCTAAATTAAAACAGAAAATTAATGAAATGTCTTTAGATCCTATTATCACTCAATAGCTATTATAGACCTTATTTGAAGAAGAAACAAACACTAGCTCTGAGTCAGATAGGCTCGCTGAGCTTCACTCTCCATCTACCTCTAGTAATGAGGAAGAAACCCTAGAACCTAATCGTTCTTGTTCTACAAATCTGAATCAAATTTCTGAAATAAATTATAGGAAATCTATTGTTGAACTAAATGGTTTGGACCTTGGGGGTCCTAGTACTCATGTTTTAACTGATGATTAGAAATCTATGCTAGATTTAGCTGAGCGAATTAAAGATCCAGGAATGAAGTTGACATGCTTAGACATTTGTTATAAACAACAAAAGGCTGCTATTGAACCTCCTTTAATTCCTCTTCAATCTTATAGCATGAAGGATGTTTTGAATAGGATGCAGTATTCAACTATAATTGAAAAACCTGTCACCATCTAGGACTTGAAAATGGAAATTAATGTCTTAAAAACAGAAATTAGACACCTTCAACTTGCTAACCAAGCTGTACAGGCCGATTTACATCAGCTTAAAACTTCTAACCACAAAGGTAAAAGTAGTGGTAAAAACAGTGCTCCAAAAACTCCTGAACAGAAAGATAACCAGTATTTGATGCATGTTAATCAGGTTACATTCCAGAAATGGTATATTCTTATTACTTTTGTTATTCAACCTGATTTTATTATCAAAGAAGCAGTAGCCCATGTTGATAATGGTGCTGACGTGAATTATATACATGAAGGATTAATTCCAACAAGATATTTTCAAAAAACTACCCAGTCACTTACTAGTGCTAGTGGTAATTCTATGCATATTAAGTAAAAAATACCTGAAGCTCTTATCTGTAACCAGGGCATTTGTCTCTCGACATCGTTTGTCCTTATCAGAAATATTTCCCCACAATTATCTTAGGAACACCATTTTTATGTCTTCTAATGCCTATCACTAAGATTGGTTCCATAGGCATTCTTACGACTATCAGCAATCAACCACTTGTTTCTGAATTTATAACATAACCTAATACAAAAGGGCTAGATCAAATTCGTGATTTGGTTACTTTTAAAGAAAAAAAAATTAATTTTCTTCAAACATAAATTCATTTTCTTACAACTGAGCAAAGGTTCAACCAACCCTCTTTACAGAATAAAATAAAGCTTATTGAAAAAGAATTTCAAATAGAAATTTGTATTTTCTAAATTTGATCTTAAATCAGGATATTGGCAAGTACAAATTGCAGACCAGGATCGTTATAAAACCGCTTTTACAGTACCTTTTGGACATTTTGAATGGAGTGTTATGCCATTTGGTTTGAAAAATGCTCATTCAGAATTCCAGCATATTATGAATGATATATTCACTCCTTATATAGAATTTGCAATATGTTATATAGATGATGTTCTTATTTTTTCATCCTCTATTGATCAGCATATTAAACATCTTAATATTTTTAAGCATGCTATTATCAGAAATGGTCTGGTTATTTCTACATCAAAAATGAAACTTTTTCAGACCACAGTAAGATTTTTGGGTCATAACATTCATAATGAAAGTATTACACCTATTAACCGCAGTATTGAGTTTGCATCTCGATTTCCTGATGAAATCAAAGATAAAACTCAATTAAAGAGATTTATTGGTAGTTTAAATTATATACGTGATTACTATCATCAGTTATCCCGGGATGCATCTATTCTTTATACCAGACTTCAGAACAATCCTCCTCCTTGGTTTGAGGAACATACCCGAGCAGTGCAAAAAATTAATGCTAAAGTTAAACAACTTCCTTGCCTTCATCTTCCTAGTCCACTGTGGAAAAAGATAGTGGAAACTAATGCCTCTAATCAAGGCTATGGTGGGATTTTAAAACAATTTAACCTTACTACCTCAACAGAAGAACTTTTACGTTTTCACTCTGGTAGTTGGAAAGGTCCTGCCCTAAAATATCCAACTATTAAACATGAATGTCTAGCAATTGTTGAATGTGTTCTAAAATTTCAAGATGATTTACTTAATTAGCATTTACTTATTCAAGTAGATTGTTCTGCCACCAAACAAATTTTTAAAAAAGATGTTTTAAATTTTGCATCTAAACAGATATTCGCCACTTAGCAAGTATTCTATCAGTATTTGACTTTGATATTGAATATATTAAAGGTACGCAGAATTCTTTACCCGATTTCATAACCTGTGAATATTTGCAGGGTCCAGCAAACTTATGACTAGCCGAGGCCGGGGCCATCGAGCCCGTGGCAGGGGATCTAACCCCTTTCAAACAAAATTCCCAAGGCTGCAAGCCTCTATCAGTAAAGGTGAATCCAATCAAATGGTTAAGGATATTCTTCTTAAACCTGAAGAATAGTATACCGCCAACAGTATTACTGAGGAAGCATTCCTCTACATTGAACCAACAGATGAACAATGGATGTTCGATCCATGGGAAATTAAGTGTAGGTATTTGACCACGCAACAATTTCCTCATCATTTTGACCAATATAGATATGTTTATGAACATATACTTATTGAGACTGCTGCTGCTGAGATTAAGCACACTTTGCATGATCCCTTCAAAACCGCCAGTCCTATCCAGTATAGTAAAATTACTATCCGCAACATCATGCCCATTACAACCTGGGGCATTCATTCGCATGCTACTCGTCAACTTGACATTCGTAATAGGGAAACTCGGTATAGTTATTAGGACTATATTGATACTTTTGCTCAAACTTTTTAATATCAGAATCCCATCAACAACCATTCTTGGTTTACCCGCATTTGCCCCGATGTCCTCAACAATGATGTCCCTCCTTGGTTTCTCGTTTTGTGGGATAAATTTGGGTTATAGTTAGAAATATTTACCAGTTCTAATCTGAGAAGTCTATAATGAATGTCATGCTGCATATTCCCATTTACCAGTAAATAAGGATATCTCTATTACGAAATCCTTAGTCTATTTCACAATCCGTTTTGGTATTCCATGGATTTGGAAATGAGACTTGAGTGTGATTATCAGAACAAGATCTCGCGTCTCAAAAGGGTTTTCTTTGTGAGATGGTTGGATAAGGGTATGAACCCTACTCCACCAGATACTATCCAGAAAATCAAGGAACATTTTCAGGCCTGTTGGGATGCTATTCTAAAAACTATTCCCAGCTAACCAGTTACTCAAAATCCGTTTTTACAAACCCAAACAGAATTACATAAAAAATATCCTAATTTGTCAAAAATAGAATTAATTATTAAAAGTATGGATTTTATGAAGGAACCGTTTCTCCAAACTATTTCTGGAGATGATACCTCCATGAGATCTGTTACCAGTAGCCAAGATCATGAAGATCCAAACCAGGATGAAAATGAATTTGTTGTGTTAGCTAGCAAATCACAAGTACCAGACGACGATGAGCCCAACTTTGGTGATTTTTGGGATTCACTCACCAGTATGATTGCTGGCAAATTCGACAAAGAAAAAGATAAAAAAGGCAAATCATGATGGGTTTTGTCCCACACCAGCAAAACCGTCGGCATAAAAGGACAAAACCAGTACAATAATTTTTGAGAAAAGCAGATGCCCTGTCTGCCAATTAGATCTACTACACAGCTATCCAAACAGTTGTCCACCACCAGACAAAGAAGATAGGATGCTGAGTCATGAGGATAAGGACAATCGACTCCACTCCACAAGGACACTCCATATGTCCTCCTCTTATCTTATCTTTTCTGTTTCTTGTACTATTAAAGGGAAGGTCCTCACTCCTGTTGAGACAGAGTTTCTTAGATTTTTTTGGACATTTTTCAGAGTGTGTTTTAGTGTTTTCGGAGTGCTCTCTCTCTCTCTCTCTCTCTCTCTCTCTCTCTCTCTCTCTCTCTCTCATCTTTTGTAAAAATTTCTCCAATATATAAACTAAGTGTTGAAGAATTAAGCTGTTTTCAAGGTTGTGATTATCCGTATCTTCAGCCGTGGGCTACACAACAGGTAGAATTCTATAAACAACAAATAAGCAGAATCAAACAGCAAATACAAGAAGATATTTGTGTGTGGGCGACAGTCGTTAGGCCTCTACCTTAATAGTAAATCATGAGACCATATATGTTGTTATTTATTTATTATATACTTGTATTATGTGCATCTATATTCCTGGGTTTGTGCTTAATAAGGGTAGATAAGAGTGAGGTTAAGTGGGACGTCACCCAAGTTGTGTATAGGATAAAAGACTGTAGTTGCAGTGATTGCACATAGGTCTGTTCCCTTGTAAAACATTTAAATTGACAAAATTAAAAATTTAGGATTTATTTTGTTAATAGGGTCAAATTTTGAGATTTTTTTTTCTTTTTTTTTATTGTAATTTCGCCTAAAAAAATAAACTTAGTGTGCTTTTCATACATTTTTAAAAAATATATATACTAGTTATAAAACATGGGTAAACTATATGCAGGTGGGAGTTAGAGGTACACAAAATTCTTTACCCGATTTCCTAACTCGTGAATATTTGTAGGGCCCAGCAAACTTATGACTAGCCGAGGCCGAGGCCGTCGAGCCCGTGGCAGGGGATCTAACCCCAATCAAACAAAATTCCCAGGGCTGCAAGCCTCTATCAGTAAAGGTGAATCCAGTCAAATGGTTAAGGATATTCTTCTTAAACCTGAAGAATAGTATACCGCCAACAGTATTACTGAGGAAGCATTCCTCTACATTGAACCAACATATGAACAATGGATGTTCAATCCATGGGAAATTAAGCGTAGGTATTTGACCACGCAACAATTTCCTCCTCATTTTGACCAATATAGATATGTTTATGAACAGATACTTATTGAGACTACTGCTGCTGAGATTAAGCACACTTTGCATGATCCCTTCAAAACCGCCAGTCCTATCCAGTATAGTAAAATTACTATCCACAACATCATGCCCCATTACAACCTGGGGCATTCATTCGCATGCTACTCGTCAACTTGACATTCGTAATAGGGAAACTCGGTATAGTTATTAGGACTATATCGATACTTTTGCACAAACTTTTTAATATCAGAATCCCATCAACAACCATTCTTGGTTTATCCGCATTTGCCCCGATGTCCTCAACAATGATGTCCCTCCTTGGTTTCTCGTTTTGTGGGATAAATTTGGGTTATAGTTAGAAATATTTACCAGTTCTAATCTAAGAAGTCTATAATGAATGTCATGTTGCATATTCCCATTTACCAGTAAATAAGGATATCTCTATTACGAAATCCTTAGTCTATTTCACAATTTGTTTTGGTATTCCGTGGATTTGCAAATGGGACTTTCAGTGTGATTATCATTTAGAAAAATACCAAATTCTTAAGATAGTTCCTAGAACAAAAGAGAGAATGATAGAGAAAGACGGAGAGAGTTAGAGAGAACCTTTCCTCTTGAGGGCTAGAAGAGAAAGAGAAAAGAAAGGGTAATTGGATGAAAATTAAAGGGAATTCTAATTCATCCTTTTGGACTTGAGAATTGAACACGTAGGTAATTTAGAAAACCTTAAATAAGGTGCTTAAGTAAAACTATTATCGTTAAGCTACATATTCAAAAAATTCTATTTCTTAGAGGCTAAGCAAGGTTAGTTTGAGTTAAACTTGGCCATTGAAGCAAATGAAACAATTTGTGGCCTAAGCTAATTAGTTCCTAGAACGAAATAGAGAAGGATGGAGAAAGAAAGAGACAAACATTCTTCTTGAGGGTTAGAAGAGAAAGTTAGAGAAAAGAAAGTGAAATAGGGAGACAATCAAATGGAATTCAAATTCATGCATGAGAATTGAACACAAATAATAATAATAATAATAATAATATTTCCGCAAATAAATTTTATAATGGAAGTGTCAATAATAATAATAATAATAATAATATTTCCGCATAATATATATAGGGAGAGGATAACAATTCACATTTGGACAGGCATTGTTACCAACATATTTGTTGATCCCCATGCCATTTATTCTCACAAGAATATTTTTCATCTTTTACCTAATACTTTGTTTTAACAAAAAAGCAATTAAACGAGTTTGTGGCATTTTAATCACCTGTGTTACATAGAGAGAATATCAACGTGTTAGGAATTGATATACTTAATTAGAATCAGTGAGACAAACACAAATATAAACAAGAATAAGAAATGAAAACAAGCACACATATAGAACACAAAAATTTACATGATTCATCTAAAACTAATGTGGATCCAAATTTTTTAAAGAATATTTTGATGTTTCTGCTATATTGATTTGTTGTCCCAATATTTTATGTATTGACTTGGAACCTTTGATTTTACCAGTAGAAAAATCATTAAAACTTTTGAACATGAAATTCCTTTACAGAATGATGATGAAGTAATTCAACTACTTCAAATATAGTATTTGGTACCTTTTCTGAAAAAATATAAATATGTCCACATAGGACTTGTCCAGATAGTTTTTAAACCCTTGACTTTGTTAGGAAAAAATACCAGTCTTACATGTACACTCAGGGATGGTAGATGTCTTGATTGGAAAGCTTCTTTGATGGAAGCCATTGAAACCAGTTTATCTCATAGACCAATATATTTTAATATATATACCCGAATTTGAGCATAGCAATTATAGACCCTAACCTGTCTAAAGTACTTGAACTTAGAATTTTAACAAATGGTTACCAGTATTTACCAAGATCACCACCGTTATCCACCATTTTCAAAATTCATCTTAAGGTTTTAAGCACCTTAAACCCTTATATCAGAAAACATAGTGAATTAGGACAAACTGTCTTAATTGATACTAACCTTTTTAGTAGCCAGGTAGCTTGTTCCTAAAATGATTCTGTGGAATAATTTTACATTTCCAGAACGATGGCAAATCAAGAATGCCGTACCAATCAGGCCTATCATCAGAAAAAATTTAGATGATGTTATTCAGAATAAGTTTGTGTTGGTTCAGCATCTAAATGGAAGGATGTATCATCTGGACAACATGTTGAATATGATCAGCGGCCTGATATATTCAGGTTATTATACTTCTTGTGTTATTGAAATTACGTTTGGTTAACATGTACTAAGAAGCTTCTATGACAGGGGCACGATAAGATATGCAAGTGTCCATGCACATTTAGGTCGAACAGGAAGTAGAAGGGATGATCTTGAGTCATTAGCTTATACATTGATATTTCTCATTAAAGGAAGATTACCATGGCAGGGTTATCAGGTGAGTTAGCATTATTGCTTCTATGTGTCCATGTTGAGGTTTCACATCAGCTGATTAATTTTTACATCATTAAGTCTTCCCTTTTTGTTTTGAATAATACAGGGAGACAACAAGAGTTTTCTTGTTTCTAAAAAGAAAATGGGTACTTCTCTGGAATTGATGTGTTGCTTTTGTCCTGCCCCATTCAAACAGTCCCTTGAATCTGTGACAAATATGAAATTTGATGAGGAACTAAATTATGCCAAACTGATATCCTTTTTTGAGAGTCTGATTGAGCCATGCACGTCACTGAGACCAATTCAAATTGATGGTGCCCTCAAGGTTATTGCTGTGATTTTCTGTTTTAAAATTTTTGTAAGATTCTTGATATGTTATTTTTTCTATTGTCTTTTGCAAGATCAGGTCGGGCAAAAGCGTGGAAGATTGTTTATAAATTTGGAAGAAGATGAGCAACCTAAGAAGAAAATACGGCTAGGTAGTCCTGCTACCTAGTGGATATCAGTCTACAATGCCCGTCGTCCCGTGAAGCAACGGTAAGTTGGTGCAAATGATCCCAAAGAAAGTCCCAAATACACAGGGAAGAGATCCCACTCGGAACCTTAAGGAGTCATTCAGAACCTAAAGCAGTCATGTGATAAATATGCCTATAAACTATATTAATAAAAAATGGATATAAACTATACTTATGTCGGGAGTCACCTCCTCCCAATCCCTTCAGTTAATGATGGCCGAAGCCGTGAATTACTTTAGAACCTTAGATGCCCATATTTAACCCATTTTCGGTACAACGATGTGTTCTTGTTAAAGGTTATGCAGTGACCTGATGCTAACAGTAGCCATTGGAAAGCCAAATTTATTGATGGCCTTCATAATCTTTTTGCAGAAAAAGTTCGAAAAAAACTTTGCGATCGCCATGATCGCATGGCCATTTCTTATGACTAGTACAGCTACGACCAACTCAGGCCTCATCATAGAAGGTCTTTCTTTGTGTAATGAGCTTAAACTTCAATACCAGATGGAAAAACAGAATCTTACTGGGAAAAAAGAATTAGGTGAATTTTGTGATCAATTTCCTTATGACACCAAAATCCAGTATATAGCGATCCCGGGTTTACCCTTGTTGTACAGTGATCCGGACATGTGTCCGTGGATGTTGGTAGTTGTTTATTATCTTGTTTGCATCCTCTTTACTTTGTATATTGAGTTATAGGATGTGTTGGGCAGGTTTGTTACAGGTTGGTTGTGTTTGGGAGCCTAGTGCTGCTGCCCAGATTTTTGGACTTTCGCTCGAGCGAGGAGTTAGTCGCTCGAGTGAGAGTTGAGTTCGTGCTTGGTGGATCGAGCCAGAGTGGCTTCGCTCGAGCGAGCGATTGCATCTAGTTCTGGACCTGAGAACTGCATTTCTTGGCTCGAGCGAGCTTTCTTCGCTCGAGCAGTCTGGTTTGTTCTTCGCTCGAGCGAGATGTCTGTTGCTCGAGCGTGCTTCTGGTTGCAGACCTGAGCGTTTGAGTTGTTAGCTCGAGCGAGCATTCTTTCGCTCGAGCGCACTTCTGAGTTTTTGGCTCGTGCGAGAACTTCTTGGCTCGAGCGAGAGTTTTCTGTGTCTGGTCGCTCGAGCGACAAAGGCTTCGCTCGAGCGAGCGTGTTTTATATCAGCGGACAGTAGCGTTTTTGAACATCAGTTTTTCACTTTCTTTTTCTTTCAAACCCTAGATCCGAGACTCTCTCTCTCTAAACTTACACTCTCTCTAAGATTTGATCTCCCTAGAGTGTGAATCTAACCTAGGGCCTTTGTTAAAAAGATAGACGGCGTTGAGAGCTTCGACTTAATCTGAAAAAGTTTGCATTTGGAGCACGTTGATTTTCTAGTCTTTATCTCCTTTTTGGCTCAAACTTCGAGATAGGGATATCCTACTCCTCTCTATGGGTTTTGTCTTTAAATTTTAGTATTTTGAGATGTTGGGGTTGGTTTGGTAATTTCG